AAAAGAAAATGCATAATTACATCTAGACAATAGTCAGGAATAGTCAAATAGCTACATAGTTGAATTTAGTGAGAGGTTAACGCGAAGGTAGCCTAATCCTACTACACGAACACAAACACGGTGCAACAAAACTGTGAAACTCCCATAAGTGAAGAATACGAGCCCCGAAAAAGGGGAATAAAACTACACAACATATATACAACCCACAAACCACAAACGAACACAACTACACAAACAAACACAAACACATAACACACACGTCAAAGCTATAAAAAACTAATACAATAAAGTCCCAACTCCCAACTCCCAAGAAACTGTTAAGGCTGATTAGATCCAGACTGACAAAACCGAAGCCCCCATCCCTAGACATCACCACCAGACAGTTGCACCTAAAGGCCGGCCACCAACCTCCTCCAACACTACACCACCGAAGATGATAAGGCTCCCGGCGGAGGGGCCCGTCAATCCCCACCCCAAAGAAATGGACAAACCCACACTACAAGAAAAAAGACTTCTTGCAACAAAAATAAAATAATTGCAACACATTTCTAAAAGGTGTAATGGAATAATGATGCTTCTAAAAAAATGTCGCAATTTCACCAGTTTTGAGACATTTATTTAAAAATGTTGCTAATTTATGACAATTTATGAAATAGTGTCCCCAATTTTATACAAATGGTGACACTTTTTTGAAAATGTATTTAAATATTATCTTCTTTTTTTTTTTCAAAAGCTTCACTTTATTTATAAATACGATGACATTTTATGTGACATTTTATGTGTTAGTTTCTGACTTTCTTAATCTCATATGTCAATTTGTGGTTTTCAAAATAGTCCATGTAGATTTGTAATTTTTTTCTTGCTCATTAAGAATATTAAAACTATAGAACACTTGGTAAATTAAATTATAAATTATGTTAAAATTAATATTATCATATCAAATTAATGTTAAAAAAATTATAAATTATGTTAAAATTAATAATTTTTTATATTATCATATCAAATTAATATTTTTATAACGATACATAAAAAATACAACTTTTAAGAAATATTTAAAAAATTAAAATAATTTTATTTTTTTAAAAACTATTTCAGGTATAAATTTTTTTATTTAGCACATGTATTACATTGATGTTGGAATACTAACAGTATTGTACAATTTCAAAGTTTAAAACTATTTATATATTAAGTTTAATATACACTTATACATTTTATCCCCACTCCAATATAATATATTAAGTTAGAACACTTATATATCAACTCATCCACTCCCCCTACATTCCCAAATCGCTCGTCGACTTCCTCACGAACCCTAGCTACACGTTTGTCGGGATCGGCGTGGATCAGGACCTGGAGAAGATCGGGGAGAATTATGAGTTCGGGTTCAACACCAACACAGTGGAGGACCTGGAGAAGATCGGGAAAATTACGAGTGGATTTGAGGGGCATAGCGGCGGAGAGGTACGGGAGGGCAGAGCTGAACTGTGTGGGGCTGAGAACCCTCATCGGCGTTGTGCTGGAGAGGGATGGAGAACCCGAGGGCGGTTACGATGAGCAGATGGGACAATCAGTGGCTGACGCCGGCTCAGGTTCAGTATGCTTGTGTTGATGCATTTGTCTGCTTTGAAATTAATAGGATTCTTGATGCTTCTTCGTTTTAATCTTATTCATCGTCTATTTGCCCCCAAAAAAACCTAGAAAAGTGGGGATCGCTTTGTGAATAATTGGGATGATTGACTTCTGTGACTTGATATGAACATGTGAAGAAAATGGGTTTGCAGATTGATGTTTTTTTTTTTTTTTTTTTTTCTTGTGGCTTGATGATTTTTCGTTATCTTGTGTCTGGTTGTTTGGAATTTTACATTATTAATGCATTTACTTGTGTGTGTATGTGAGTGTTATCCTATCAACCAAATTTATTTGGTTTTGTGTTCATTTGGACTTTTGAAGTGTTTTCTTTATGCTTCGTTGTTGACTAGAACTATTTTGGTTTGTTTATAAAATTTCTGTTGAAATTAACATTTTTTACTTTCACATGAACGTATCTAATGGATGACATAGGAAGAAGAAATGTTCGATTATTTAAATCTAACATTAGCTTCTCGTTTATATATGGGTCATGTTCATTAGATTTGCTATGCTTTGTATCACTGGATTAGAGAAAGCGCGATTTTATCATTGTTTTTACCTTCAGGGACTGATTGGGCAGTATGCAGTATCCATTCTTGAAGATAAATCTGTTTGGGGCACCACTGCTCCTACAATAATAGCATAAATGGACACCCAGGTAAAATGATGTGGATTAATATGCTCTTGATATCAAAATGGGGGAGAAAAAAATGAAGAAAAATCTGTACTTGGCACTCTACTGATGCTTAGAGTGGTAAGCTTACTTCTGCTTCTCAATTTATGTTTATTATGTCATGATTTTTGTTCTAGCGATATTTTGGACTGACTTTTGTGGAGTATGGTGAATTGTTACTTTTTTTATGCCCATGGTGAACTGTTGCTTTTTTATGCCCTAATTCTTGCAATAATTTTTGTTTTTGGGAGCTATGAGATCGTGAAATGGTGAAGTGCATAACAAAGCGACTACTGAACAGCTGTATAAACAAGTAGACACTGTCTGGAATGAGGCTGAAGCAAATGTAAGGGTATCCAGATTCTTCATGTGGTTCTGCAGTTGCTTGTTGATCTGACTAGTTATACTACTTAACTAATTATAATGCTTTCTCTCTTTTTTATTAGCAGCACATTACAAATATGTCCTAAAGTAACAATTCATTGAGATAGTCTGCCATTGTATGATTCATTTGCATGCTTCTATTGATGATGAGTCCTCTTCTTTCTTGGTAGGTATATGCTAATGTGGAAGAGAAAACATGCTAAAGAAGAGGTTTGTGAATTTATTTCATCACATCAGATAGCAGAAAAGCCTATATCCATCCAATTACTCATTAATATGAATTTGTGATAGAAACTATAAGTTCTTATTTCTTCAGGTAAAAAGAAGCTTTGGTATGGGAAATCAAGAGGGAGCAAAGCAAGACGGTGAATTGTTCGAGTTTCAACATTTTATTATGAATTTGTGATAGAAACTATAAGTTCTTATTTCTTTTTATTATGTTATTGGAATTTCAACATTTTATTCATTTTGTATATTTATTGTGGATATTATAACTGTTCGAGTTTGATTATAATAAATTTTGTTTCACTATGGAATCCCTAATATGTAGACGGAAATTATTATGTGTATCAAATTTGACACAATATTGTTGTCAATTTCATAATAACGATGCATGAAAAATGTGTCGCATTTTGATAATTCGTAACACTCATATTTGTGTCACCAAAAATCATAACAACACTTAAAAAGTGTAATGTATTGAAAATTACCTACAATACAATTTTGTGTCACAATAATCCATATTAATGACGCTAGAAAAAAATGTCATGCATTGAAATTTACCGACGCTAAAATTTTATGTTACAACTCGTATCAATAATGACGTGCTCAAAAAGAGTCACCGATTGAAAATTACTTACAATAGTATATTATGTCACTAAATTATATACTAGTGACGCACTTTTGAAAAAGTGTCACGTATTAAAGATTACCTACGCATCTAGGTTGCGTCACAAATAAATTCGTGACATCAAATTTAGCAACATAACTCGTGACACATTTGCAAGTGTAGGTAAATTTTTTTGTGACACTAATAAATGTCACTAAATAAAAAAAGAAACGTCACTAAATAAAAAAAGAAACGTCACTAAATGCAATTTTTGTTGTAGTGCCAGGGGAAGAAATAACCGACCCTTGCACCAGCCACCGAAAGGTGGGCAAAATGTTTAAATTATCATTTTATTAGCTAAAAATAGCCATTAAACAAACCACAAGAGTGTCACATATATGCCACCTCAATTTCTTGGTGGTTTTAGTTTATAAATATGTACTTCTAATATGCATTTAGAAATTAAATGTCTTGCTTTGCTATTAGCTAATAACGGATAGCTGATTGTATGGACGGATAGTTGATAGTAGATTTTAATTTCCAATTTGTTTAGTAAATTATATTAGTTGTTTGGTAAATAGAGATTTGTATAGTTATTTATGTAAATTTTATATTGATATGTTATTCTATATATTTTATTTTTTCAAAATGCTTTCATATTAAGGTGTTAAAAATTAGTATTTTTCGATTAAAATCTTAATCAAGTAAACTATATTAAATAAGCTAACTAGTAAATTTGATGGATCAAACTTTTAAGTAGTTCAAATATTTCTTTTACATCAATTCCACAATTAATTTGCTAATATCGAGTCCAAAGTATTTGTGCGAATTACTTCATAGTCGAATAGTTCAAAGTGTGCATATATAACCCGCTAATGATATGGTCCCCTTTTATCCTTTTTCCCCTATGGACTCCGTAAAGTTCTATATAAATAATTTTAATTAATTAACATTTTTTTTTAAAGAAAAAAAAAAGGCACGGACACATGAGCCAATCACACACAAGTCCATAAACAAACTCCCATACATAAAATGCCAGCAAACCCCATCTTTTATCTACCTGCGCAAGTACCTTTGCTTCTCCAATATTTATCAATCGATTAAAATTAAAAGCCATGGAGCTTTTCCCCTCGAAAAAATCCCGCACCAAAAACACGGTCATACTATCACTTACAACCGCACTAATCCTCCTTGCCTTATCCCGTCTCACCAATCCCATCCCACATAACATTAACCTTCCTCCAATAGCACCCCGCATTAATCCTCCTCCGCAGGATAATCATAAGATAATCCCGTCCATTAATCCCCCAGCTGAAGCCATCAGGATAACGGACGAGAGGGAAAAATGTGACATATCGACTGGAGAGTGGGTCCCAGATGAGAACGCCCCTTACTACACAAACACGAGCTGTTGGGCCATTCACGAGCACCAGAATTGCATGAAATATGGGCGGCCCGATTTGGGATTCATGAAATGGAGGTGGAGGCCCAATGGGTGCGAATTGCCCATTTTCAACCCGTTTCAGTTTCTGGACATTGTGAGGGATAAGTCGTTGGCATTCGTGGGAGATTCTGTGGGAAGGAACCAAATGCAGTCAATGATTTGTCTCTTGTCCAGGGTAAGTCAACTCTATTTTAATTTGCTTGCAAACACAACATAATTACGTACTGTTTGTTGTATATATATATATATATAAAATGATGATGATGATGATGAGATTAGTTTTAATTTCAAAAGTATTTGACGAATGTTTGAAAATTATACAAACTATACTTAAATAGTACTATTGAGGTTGAGGTAAATATTTGAAAAGGAGGAACGAATTTTGAAGGGGATGGTTGGGGTTTTTCTTTTTAGTTATTAAATTGAATATCATGGGACATATATTATATATATAGTTCGAGATATTGACATTCATTCATTCATTTTTTTTATGTTGTTCTTGTACCATTCCATCTAATACTTAAAACTTTATAGTATAGACCATCTATGTCCGGCAATACATAATTACTTATAATCTTATAAATATCAGTATATAAAAGCCATTAGATGGAGCAAATTAAAATGTATTATTGATTTCCTGGGATTCTTTATGGAATTAAAGTTAAAACAGTTTCTTCAAATAAATATAATCTAACAATTTCNACAATTTTATCAAGAAGAAAAAAAAAAAAAAGAAAAAAACTATGATAAGTCGATAGATGGCACCATTTGTGAATCAGAGCGGGTTTAGCATATACCTATAAGCTAGAAGCTTCGAATTGAGACCTTTACTAACGGTTAAATTAATTATTTAATATTTTTCTTTGGTGAATTATATGAAGTTATTAGCGCCCTAATTATTAGTAGTAGGTGGGATTATCAATTAGTAAAATAGATTAGATCAATAATGCATGAAAATGAAAGCTAAAAGAAGACAGCCTGTTATAGATTGCAGACAATCAAATAAAAAATCAAGTTTTAGAGGTCGAAGCCAATAGATAATTAAAAGTGTTCAATTCATATGAGCTAAGAATGCTCTGTATCAAGGTCATTTGATGTTACCCAGTAGGACCAGCACGGAAAGAGAATGTCTTTCAGTGGAAATTTACTTTTAATTTATTTTATGAGAATAATAAAAACATAGGAAAATGCTACAATCCCGTTACGGAACCATTCCGTTGGGATTGTAACCGTTAGATCATCAAGTAACCGTCAATGATAATTGATCTAACGGTTACAAATCCCAACGGAATGGTTCCGTAACGGGATTGTAGCCTTACCCAAAAACATAAATGCTTATGTCTATTCCCAACAATGTAACACAATCACGCACATAAAACTTTGGATTAAAATACTATATATATCGGATGATGACAAAGTTTGATAGAGGCAATCTAATCTGGGTAACGTGAACACCTCAACTTATGGATCTCTAGATCTACAAATGTTAATAGACATGGCCATTCAACGGGTCCGGGCCCAGTCCAGCGGGCCGCCGGGCCTCAACATCCTGGCCTGGGACCGAACCGTCAATTGCTTAGGGCCGATTCTTCGAACCGGCCCTGACCCGGCCCGCAGGGAAAAAATAAAATAAAATAAAAAAAACGCTGGAGTCCAGCCTCCAGCCCGTGACCCGGTCTCGGCCCGGCCCGGACCGCCGGAACCAAGAAAAAAAATGGAGCAGCCCGGGACCGAATCGCGGCCCTCACGGTCCGGTTAAACGAACCGGCCCTTAATGGCCGGTTACGGGCCAGTCCGGGCCGGTTCGGTGCCGGTTTCCGGTCCGGGTCACGGGTCGGTTCGGCCCGTGACCACCTCTAAATGTTAAACTGCAAATTGAAAGTGGTCCTAATTTGAAATATATATATATATATATATATATCGAAAACGACATACAAGTAGCTAACTAATTAAATAAATTATTTTTTTCCTTAGTTTCAGTGTGTTTTTTCCTTGTATTCATTGTTGTGGTGACATTTATAGTTCAGCCTACAATCGCCTGTGGCATATGAATTTTACTCATTTTATTTGATAATTTTTAAGTTAGGGAAAATTACACTTTGTCTACCGAACTATCCACATTTTTACACTTTGCCCACTCAACTTTTTTCGGTGACACTTTACCCCTTGAACTTTAAATATTCTTGCACTTAACGACTTCCGGCCATCGGAGATGCAAAATCAAGAACAAAGTGTAAAAACGCGAATAGTTCGGTAGGCAAAGTGTACTCGTGAAAGACTAATTTGAGGTGTCCCTAAGGTGTAAATGACGATTTTGCCCTTGATTTTGCATCTCCGGTGGCCGGAAGTCGTTAAGTGCAATAATATTTGAAGTTCAAGGGGTAAAGTGTCACCGAAAAAAGTTGAGTGGGCAAAGTGTAAAAACGCGTATAGTTCGATAATTAGAGTGTAATTTTCGCTATAAGTTATGTGCTTGTGTTTGTATGGATTAGAGTCAAAACAGGTAGTCTTTGAAGCCCGCCTTTTGGAGTGATAGACCTAGAAAATGGTAAAATACATTGAGACACTTCTAATATGAATTAGTAATCATTATAGTCTACTGAAAATAAATGCTCATCATATTTATAGATTTTGAATTAATTTTATTTTCATTGTTTAATTGTGAAAACGTATGTAATTGATCTTTTTAATATTCTTTTCTATTGTTTGCATATATTTTGGTTGGACACTTGATATTACGAATGTTAAAAGTTATAAAAATATGTAACACTTTTCAATAATCTATCTAAGTTAATTATTTAAGTACATAATATTTCTTAAAACTTATTTTTTCTTTGTTAGCGAGCCCCGCCCTGTCCTGTCGTGGCCTAAAAAAAAGGAAGAACACAACCCCCAATTCAACCAATTCAACACATTTTTATTGTACTTATACAATTCCTATATACTTAATAGCAACACTAGCAAAAATGACATTTTTATTTGTACAAATACTAAGACAAACTATTTAATATTAAATAAAAAATAACTAGCTCATTTTTATATTTGTTAGGCTATTTAATTCAAATAAATAATAATTTCGATTATAGCTTTTTACATGTTTTTTTTTTATGTTACTTTGGGCCTTCTTATATTTTGTATGCGATCATTTATATGATATTTTTCTACAACTAAATAATTAATTCTTCAATTGTAATTAAATAGTAAATTTACATTTTCCATAATAACACAATATATATTCTTATATAAAATGTGAATATGCTATAAAAATTTAAAATATATCACTCGTGACTTGCTCTGGGGTGGATCCACATTGTAAATAGGGGTCATTGTCCCCACAAACTTTTAATTATTTACTATCTATACATATTGTAAGTATATTATCAATTTTTATCCATTACTACATAAATATATACTTATAAGTATATTCAATTTATATCTATATTCCATAATTATTACTAATTATTGTATAGCTCTGTCTATTAATTATTTCTAGGTACATTATATTTTTGTTAGTAAATTTTCACTCTCCAACTATATTTAGTGTTTTTTTTCTTTGTAATTTGTAATTTAATAAAATTGAATGTATGAGATATGTGACATCTTAGTAAAAAAATTGAATGAACAGAGCATGCGAGATATGCAAATATATGGAATTGAAAAGTACTCGCAAGAACTATTAACACTGAATCAATTGTTAATGAGTCTCGTGAACTGAAATAATATCAAATACAATTTTAGAATACCAAAGTCATAAATTATATATTTTGTACAACATTTTTATTATTTATTTTATCTATTTAATATAAAATAAAACTGTATGTATGTGTGTGTTATATAAAATATATATCATCTCTAAATGTGTTATTTAAGTCGAGTCAATTTAAAATATCTCATGTTCAAACTCGTGTTTGATTAATAAAAGAGTCAGCCCGGCTTGACTTGGAACAAGTAAGACCCGACTCAGTTAATACACAAAGTCAATTTAATGTCTAAAAAATTAGTTTATTTAAGTAAAAGAACAAGTTGAGCTCAAGTTTTTGTTAGTCAGACCGAGTTGTGTTCGCAGACAATTTTGTTCAATTTACAGCTCTAGTCCCCTCCAAAAACATTTTCTAGATCAGCCCTTTCTACATCCTCATTTGTGCGTCCTACTAATTATACTTAGTCCTAAACCCGCATTTAGTCATAATTAAACATAGAAAGCCAAACAAGGAATATTACACGTAAGCATTTAAGGCCGACTTGAAACGAAAAGTCTTTAAATAAATAAAGAAGGATACAAAATTTGGAGCGACCGATAATTGAGTCTTTGAGATATGAGCTCATATTTAATTATTTAAAAAAACAAAATGACAGGTGGAATATCCCATCGACGTGTCCCCAACCACCGACGAACACTTCAAAAGGTGGCGGTACGACAGCTACAACTTCACAATGGCCTACTTTTGGTCTCCCTTTCTCGTCCGGTCCGACGAGCGCGACCCGGACGGCCCAACCGGAACCGGTCTTTTCAACCTCTACCTGGACGAACCGGACGAGTCCTGGGCCGCCCAAATCCACCCCTTCGACTACGTCATCCTCAACGCCGGCCACTGGATGGCCCGAACCGCCGTCTACCACGAGCGTCGCCGCGTCGTCGGCTGCCGCTACTGCCAAATCCCCGGATTCACCGACCTCCCCGTCACCTACGGCTACCGCCGGGTTCTCCGGACGGCGTTCAGATCCCTAATCGAGCGGGAGAGCTACAGGGGGGTCACGTTTTTGCGGACCTATGCGCCGTCGCACTTCGAGAACGGGCCGTGGAACGCCGGCGGCGATTGCGTGCGGCGGCGGCCGTGGCGGAGCAGCGAGGCGGCGCTGCAGGGGCTGGATATGGAGATGTACATGACGCAGGTGGAGGAATTTAGGGCGGCCCAAAAATTGGGGAAGGCTAAAAGGTTTAGGTTGTTGGACACGACCCAAGCAATGCTGCTCAGGCCCGATGGGCACCCCAGTAGATATGGGCACTGGCCCAATCAAAACGTCACCTTGTATAATGACTGTGTCCATTGGTGCCTACCTGGGGCCATTGATTCTTGGGCCGACTTCTTGCTGCACTTCATCAAGATGGAGGCGCGGAGGTGGTACACTGAGGTGCTTCATCAGCGAGACAAGAAGATGAAAATGCACTAAATCATTTTTTTTTTTTTTTTTTTNTTTTCTTCTGACTATCTGGTTATTGTTGATTGGCGGTGTCAATGATTATTGTTGGTTGTTCATATCTATCGACTGTTTATATTTTGTTATATCAATTTCTCGTAGATGAAAATAGTATTATTGATGCATGTATACTAATTTCTGCTTGAAAGTTTGAAGTTAATTTATTCAAGTTTTTTTGAACTTTATATTAATGTAAGATATAGCTATCACTATGGAAGGGATACAATCTGAGTTATTAGGAAGTTGTTCCTACAATAAAGAATTATTCGTCTTCTCTATACACGACAGACTGAGTTTTTAAAGATATATTCACTCTTATTGCTGAGAAATAGCCAATTGTAAATTTATAGTTTTTCATCTTACACTACACTGTGCCCTCTGAAAAGATGCCCGTGAGTTTAACTGATAATCGACAATGAGAAGAATATGGTTCGGTAGCACTTTTATTGGAAAGTAACCATTGTAGATATACTGACAGCTGAACAATAAGTAGTAATGATTATTCCTGTATCACTAATTAATTCATTACTGAAAAATGGTATAGTTGTTTGACAATCATATTTTATTTTATTAGTTTCTATTGAAACTAATTTCTGAGAAGAAGATATTCTGGGAAGGTGATTTTATTTCTGGTAAAACTTGAAATGAAAGAAGTACAGGAATGACCTATATAAAGGTCACGTGCACACAATTCACATGCAACAATAAAACGACAGCGTTTTGTTGTAAAATAAAACGGGTTCCACTAATAAAGTCGCTAATACATTTGCAACCAAATATCAACAAAATAAAAAGGAAAAGGGAAATAAGCCAAAGGAAAGAAAATAAGAAAGCAGTAATACGAGGAGAGTCTTTCATATGCTAACTTCACACATGCACGAGAGCAAGCACCATTCCAACAGCTCCCCCTCAAGTTGGGCAGGAGGGAAAGAGCAACATGCCCAACTTGAAAACGAGAAAGTGAAACTGAGAACCAGTAAGCACTTTAGTAAACAAATCAGCCAATTGGAACTAAGTAGAGATATGCATGGGGTGGATGAACCCAGTCTTGAATTTGTCACGTACAAAGTGGCAATCAATCTCCAAATGTTTAGTACGCTCGTGGAAAACAGGATTGGCCGTGATGTACAAAGCTGCTCTATTTCACAATGGCAATTACAATGGGAAGCAAGGCTGTAAGCCGGAGCGAATCCGGAAAGATTGCACCATAAAAGAATGGGATAAGGCACAACAACCTGAAACTCATGAAGAATATAAGAGATCCACAGCAACTCTGCCACAGTAGAACTAAGGGCCTTGTACTCAGCTTCGGCAGAGGATCTAAAGACAGTGGACTGCTTTTTGCTTTTCCAAGAAACAAGACAACCTCCCAAGAACACTGCATAACCGGTGATAGATCTTCTTGTGTCCTGCAAGCAGCCCAGTCTGCATCACTATATGCAAGTAACTTATTGCCACCCTGAGTTGAAAAATGAAGTCCCAGGTTTGTAGTGCCTTTAAGATATAAGAGAATGTGAATTGCTGCATCCCAGTGTGAAAAGTATGGATCATTGACAAATTGACTCAGTTTTTGTACTGAGTATGTGACATCAGGCTTTGTCATGCCTAAGTAAAGTAATCTCCCTATAAGTCTCCTGTACTGGTCTGGATTTGTAAGAGGTAGACCATCTTTGCTGTGGAGATGAACACCATGAGGAAGAGGTGTGGCAGCACTCTTACAGTCCTTCATATGCAAATCTTCAAGCATATCCAACACATATTTCCTCTGGCAAAGAAATGTCCCATTGTGATCTCTTAAGATTTCAACTCCAAGAAAATAGGTGGTCTGTCCCAAATTTTTGATTGTAAACTCAGCATCCAGATAACACTTAAGTTGGGATATAAGATCTTCACTTGAACCTGTCATCAGTATGTCATCCACATACACCAGAATAGCAAGAAAATAGTCATTTTTTGTGAGTGTGAAGAGGCAATGATCATAAGCTGACTGAACCAAACCAAAAAATGAGAGCTTCTTGCATAGTTCATTATTCCATTCTCGAGAAGCTTGTTTAAGCCTATACAAGCTTCTAACCAACTTGCACACCTGCCCTTGCTTTGCCTTAGAATATCCTTGTGGAGGTGTCATGAAAACTTCCTCAGTGATATAACCATGCAGGAATGCATTTTAACATCTAGCTGATGTAAAGGCCATCCATTCACTGTGGCAATAGCAATGAATATTCTGATTGTGACCAGTTTAGCAACTGGTGAGAAAATATCAAAATAATCAACACCAGCCACTTGATTGTATCCTTTTGCCACAAGCCGTGCCTTATACCTCTCCACAGTCCCATCACTCTTCCTTTTAATTTTGTAGACCCATTTAGAACCTATAGGTTTTTTACCAGCTGGCAAGTCAGTGAGCTCCCAAGTGTGGTTGTCTTCCAGAGCCTCCAATTCTTTTTGCATAGCATCTACCCAAACAGGATTCTTACAGGCTTGCTGACATTGTGTTGGTTCTTTATCAATGCTCACATTAGTCATGAAGGCTAAAAAGTGTTTTGTGGTGTCAGAATCTTGTGTAAGTATCTGATTGCAGTCATAATCTTCTAGCCACTTAGGAGCTTGCCTGGTCCTGGTACTTCTCCTCAAACCAGCTTGTGGTGAATCTTCAGGAAGGATCTCTGGTGTGATGTCAAGTGAGTCCACCTCTAATCTCTCAGTTGTTTCCTCTACCACTGGTAAAGGCATCTCATTTTCTACCCTCATGTTGGTTCTGTCATAAGGAAATGTGTGCTCCAGGAATGCTACATCCCTTGATATCACCAATGACTTAGATTTCAGATCATAGAGCTGAAACCCCTTCTTACCACTCACATAACCAAGAAATATACATTTCAGCCCTCTCTTGTCAAATTTAGTCTTCTTGGGATCCACATTAGCTGCATAAGCTAAACATCCAAAAGTCCTTATACTACCATAGTCTGGTCCTTTGTTGTAAATTTTCTCAAAAGGTGTTTTCCACCTAAGCAAGGCACTTGGTAGCCTATTGATGATATAGGCAGCTGTTAAGATAGATAAAGGCCAGAACCTCAGTGGAAGGTGACTCTGAAACATTAAGGCTCTCCCAATATTCAACAAATGCCTATGCTTTCTTTCTACTACTCCATTTTGCTGAGGAGTGTAGGTGCAACTTGTTTCATGAATAATTCCCCTTTCACTGAAGAAGTGTTGAAGCTCTTTGCTCAGAAATTCTTGTCCATTGTCACTTCTGACCTTTTTATCTTTGCAGTCAAACTGAGTACCTATCATATTAATAAATTTTCTTGTTAGCCCAACTGTTTGTGACTTGCTACTCATAAGCAAAACTCAAGTAGCTCTGCTGTAATCATCTACCAAAGTGAGGAAAAAAGGAGTGTTGTTAATGCCTCTCCATGACAAGGTCCCCAAATGTCCATGTGTATTAACTCAAATGGTTGCTCAGTTTGTATTGTACTATGCTGAAAGGGAATTCTATGCTGCTTAGACTTGAAACAAATATTACATCCTTGAATTAAAGTCTCATCTCTTGTGTTACAAGTACCTTTCAGGAAGGGAAAGTGATTCATGGTGGAAATGGATGGATGACCCAATTTCTTGTGCCAGCCTTCCACAGACAGATTGCAGTGTACACTTGTGTCCTTTTCTTGTTCCCCTTGGAAAATATATAGATTGCCTTTCAGTTTCCCCATACCAATCAGGTGATTACTTCTTTGATCAAGTAAAGAACAGCTTGTGGAAGTAAAAGAGCACTTCAGATCACTATGAGAACATAACTGGACCACTGAAAGTAAGTTGTACTTGAAAGATGGTACATAGAGTACCTCCTCCAAGATCATTTTGCTGTTTAGGATCACCATACCCTTCTGATCAACTCTTTTAAGTGTTCCATCTGGCAAACATACATTAATGGGATGGCTAAGTGTTTGCAAGTTATCAATCAGCTTGATGTCTGAACAAATATGTCTGCTAGCCCCAGTATCTATGGTCCACTCTCCTTTTTGAGAATTATCAACTGTGGACAAGGCATAATGCACATCATTATCCTTTTCTCTTCCTGCAAAATTGACAAACTATGCATAATCCAGGTTGTTGTCCACATTTTCCTTTCCTTTGATGTATTGAGTGAGTTCATTCAGTTGTTGAATAATTGAACTAAGGTCAGTTGGCTCAGCTCTTTTATCAGTCTGCTTCTTTCTATGTTCAAACACTTCTGATATCTCAACACTGTTTGCATGATTGTTGCCTTGTTTCTGTTTAAAATCTTAGTACCATTATGGTATTCCACGAATCTTGAAACAGGTAGTCATATTGTGTCATCTCATCCCACACTTCTCACATATTAGCCTTGCCTTTTCTTATTTTGTGAGTCTGAGTGCTCCTCTACCTCTTCCATTTCCCCATTGTCCTCCACCTCTGTTAGGCATGTAATTTCCTCTTCCATATCCATCGGTTCTTGCTGCCAACATTGCATTGTCCATTCTCTCACTGTATAAATTCTGTACTGATTTCTGTCTCTCAGCTGTGAGAGTCATGGAAAATGCTTTATTAACAGTAGGCAAAGAATCCAATAGCATAATGTGATTCTTCAAGCTGTCAAAACTATCATTGAGTCCCATAAGAAACTGAATTAGCTTGGTTTCTGATTCATGCTGTGCAACCTCCTTTCCTTTCTCACAGTCACAAAATCTCACAGGTGCAACACATGCAAATTCATCCCAGAGTTTCTTCAACTTATTCAAGTAATCCACAACTGCATCATTTCCTTGATTTAGACTATTAATTTCTCTCTGCAGTTTGTACTTCATAGGACCGTTATTCTCACCATATCTTTGACATATATCATCCCATAGATCCTTGGCAGATTCGACATACATAAAGGACTCAGCAATAATTTTTCAACAGAGAATTCAATATCCAAGAGAGTACAGTCCAATCAACCTTTTTCCATACAATATACATCTCATTCTCTTCATTTGGTTTTTCAACTTCTCCAGTGATGAAACCGATTTTTGTTTTCGCATTGAGAGCAATTATCATCGATCTCTTCCATGGCAGAAAATTATTTCCAGTTAGGAGATTTGTGACTAAAACCATACCAGGATTATCGGAACCATGTAGGAATATAGGATCCTGCTCCTGAAGCTTCAATCCTACTGTAGTGTTGGTGTTGAGTAGTGCCCAAGCTTCATTTCTTCTTTGCGCCATTGTTGAGCTTGCTTGCAGCTCGAAATGTCAAATCGGTGAGAGATCAGCTTTGATGATGTTTCGCAGCACAAATTATCAGATCTTAGCTGAAGATACTAATTTCGAGCTTTCAGGTGCCAGAACCGATTGCTCTAGATACCATATTGAAACCAATTTTCGAGAAGAAGATATTTTGGGAAGGTGATTTTATTTCTGGTAAAACTTGAAATGGAAGAAGTATAGGAATGACCTATACAAAGGTCACGTGCACACAGTTCACATGCAACAACAAAACGGCAGCGTTTTGTTGTAAAATAAAACGAGTTCCACTAATGAAGTCGCTAATACATTTGCGACCAAATATCAACAAAATAAAAAGGAAAAGGGAAATAAGCCAAAGGAAAGAAAATAAGAAAGCAGCAATACAAGGAGAGTCTTTCATATGCTAACTTCACACATGCACGAGAGCAAGCACCATTCCAACAGTTTCTAAGAAGTTTAGTTATTGCAAAATAATTCAATTGAGTGGCGGGGATGCTGTCGAGGGCTTCATGCTCGTGGCTATTGCTGAGGTCTTGGCCTCCTCCACATAAACGAGGCCGGTAAAACTGGCAACGGGTGGAGGGCCAATAGCCAAGGCTTCAGGCCTTCGTCGAATTCGGGGATTTCTCCATCTGTCAAGCTTTTTCCTTTTCCGTTTTTCTAAGAAAAAAAGCAAGGAATGCCACTCGGAAATTCGAGTAGGAAGCAAAGCAAAAAAAAGGAAGAGAAAAAACTAGAGAGAAGATGGAGAAAAAAATTTAGAGAGAGGGAGAATGAAAAAAATTTTGTGTGGCCACATTTGCCACCGGTTTTCTCCAGAAGGCCACGTCGTTTATGCAGATGCACCAGATGATAATGCAATATTCAATGCATATGCACCAAATGATAATGCAATATTCAAAGGACGCAAGCAATGCTGATGAACTCATTGGGCATGTTGGATGTTCTGGCTGGTTTCGTAATTCTTGGGGTCATCTGGCCTGTGTACGGGAAAGGCAACATTTATAGAGATCGAATTGGAAAATGATGAGCATTTGTGTGCTCTTGCGTTGATCATATAATGAGGACCATTTTGAACTTCTTCGTTACAAAGAAATAGTGAAATACACATATACCTTGATATGTCAACCTGAATCTCTTACAAGAAATATACCTGCAACACTTCTGTACAAATCAATTCGCGTAAAACGAGCACTTGTATATCGGGCATTTAAAGTAACAATAAAAATCACTATCCCAAAATTAGTTGAAAAAAAAAAATAATAAATAAGAAACAACACATAATACAGCATCCAATCATAACCCACAGAGATGGATCACACGCACTCTTGAACAAATCAAGTTCAAGGTGTGATAAAAAAAAGATGGTCAGATCCAAATCAAAAGCAGTCAACTTGTGACCAACTCTAATTACAAAATAGGTGTTAAAACATGATAAAATATAAAGCTTCCAAAAGAGGACTTCAAAATTGTTACTTTTCATCTATCTATAACTCCATTGCACCTGTCTATACCCACAATTGTTCTCTGCGGTATTCCCGGACAATAACAGGCACACTTGTAGGTGGTATCTGTACACACCAATAATAAAACACGAGTCAAATAAAAAGTGAATGAACTACTTACTGATTGTACATTATTCACTTCCAAAAGATTGTAAGAAAACAGACCCCATGTTCTGGATTTTGTTGCAAAGGTGGTGGTTATTATATGAATTGAGACTAACTTCATTCCAACTTACCATGCCATAGTCTGTAATGATCATCGATATGTAATCAGAAGGTGTGGCATCATATCTGGTATAAGTAAATAACCGAGTGAGCTATCATAACATCGTTCGATTGCATAATACTAAAATTCATAAGCAATTACAAGTCCTTACATCAAGTTTAAGGGAAGCAAATTCTCACTCTTGGCCCAACCATCCAAATGATTGATTTCTCTCCCAGAAACCTTGGAAACCACATCAGGATCACCTGTAAGGGGACATGACAGCAAATGCAGACGTTAGAAAGCAATATACTAATCACATAACCAAATACAAAAATAAAAATAAAAAAAATCTTCCGAATAATTACAAAAAACACCACCTTAGTTTAAAATTTCTCAACAAAAATACAAATACAGAGTATTTATTAGTGACTACAACGTATATCCAGGTTTTCGTGTAATTAGACAAAATCTCAGGGGTGTGTGTTTGTTATCATCATACCAAGCTCATTTGAGCATATCGAATCAAGCTGAACTCTCTCGTGAAACTTGTAAGCCTCACAGCATATCATGACCGGGACACGAAACTGATAGGCAACCATGGCCACGCACGCCGTACCAACCCTAGAGTAAACTGTCCCGTTCGACAAAACCGAAGAAGCCCCCAGAAAAACCTTAGTCACCTCGTGCATAACATACGAAACTGCGTTTATATGAGTGTATGTACAAATGATACCCTTCCCCACAAGCCTACGGAGCAGTTTTTGCCCTTCGAGCTTGGGACGTGAATCAACTATCACAACCCGGAACATTCTACCAAGCTCGTGGGCTTGCGAAAATATCATCTCAACAGCAGAAGAGGAACCGTACGTGAGAAGCACGTCATTATCCCTAATCTTGGTGACAGCATGCTTGACGATAACTTTATCCGCCAGAATAATCTTCTCCTCTATAAAACGGTCAATATTAGAAATGAGATGGGCTTTTGCCTCAGCCTCAGACAGATTTGGGGATAGGTTGGTGACTCGAGATTTGAGGAATCTGATCGCGTTCCCCATGCTGATAGAGAGTGGCCTGCATTCGATCAGAAAAGAGACGTAAGTGTTTATTTTTGCGGTTAGGTCCCTGGCGAGGGCTTTGTCAGGAGGGGTGGTGTAGTCCTTGATGGATTCTTGGAAAGCTTGAAGCATGGCAATGCACCGGGAATTGCCACCGGAAATGTCTCCGGCTAGATACTGCAGTCCAACCTGACGAATATAAATTGCATACTCAGCGTTTAATTGTGTGGGAATTGGAAATAGGAATAATTCTGAAAATCGCCGTTTTAAGTGTGATGGTGATAAAAGTGACTAAACTATTGCAAACATAAATAGCTCCTCTGGGAATGAAAGATGTTAAGGATTTTCGTAATTAGACTAAACATCAGGGCTCATTTTTGTAATTAACCTAAAAATTTCACCTCAAGATTTCCATTCGAGAGACAAAACATGCTCTTGTCTTAGAAGTTACAACCATGTCTGACAGTTATTGTAAAAGAGCGGGATGAAGGGGAAAAAAAAAAGTACCTTGTAAACAGCAGAATGAACAGAATCAAGTTGGAAGAACTTTGATTCCAAATCAGAAAGCCTTCTTCCGTGTTCATACTGAGGTAGATGCCTAAAGAGCTCAGCCCTATTCCTGGCTTCTATTTGTTTGACCACAGATCGCTTTTTTGCCTTCTCAACTTTATTTTCATCATCAAACTGCATCCGCGGATGAGGGATGTCCTTTTTCCTATCTTTATCCGGTTGGCGCTCACCACCTCTTTTCTCGAAGGCTGCAACAAGAGTGTTTTCTTTCCTTGGTGGAACAAGCTTTGCAGGTTTCCCCATATTCGTAGGATTAGCTCCAGCCACAACAGCACTCGGAGCCTTACTTCCTTGACCTTGAAGTCATAGAATTCAAGAGAGCATGGAAAGTTGCCACATTAAATATTTCCCTTTCCCCAAGAGAGAATAAATTAAGACAGCGTATACCGACAAAAAGCCTTCACCTAAATTTTCCAGCTAATTCCACTCTAAAAACAGAAGTGGTGAAAACTACAAAATACGATTAACAATAATTAAATACATAGCTGAGGGAGAGGAGGGAGAGAGGGGGATGATAATTTTTGCATCTACCATAATTACTTACCACTATATCTAGGAAGCAATATGTCGATAATACGTTTTCTTTAATAGAAAGATAATCATGCAAAGATAGTCGAAGCAAAACATGATATAATGCATAAAATCATTTTAAGAAACACAAACTGGCTTGTTCTTTCATTCCACAATAAAATGATCACCTCTCCTCATGAACATAAAAAGCACCTGGCTAACTGAACACAGTAAAATCACAGACGATTCATATCAGTGATGGAGCAATGTCATAAAAATCTTTTGATTCTATATTTTCAAACATGCAATCACAAACACTACTAAAAGATAAGATAATCAAACATCAACCCAGCAGCATCTCACAATTTGATAATAAACTAACAAACCATGAAACTCAAAGCTTGTGACAGCAGTTCATATGAGTCACACACTTACTTTCATGAGAGTACCCACCTAACCAATGCAAAATCGATAAATTTGATAAAATTAATATATAAGCTCCGCAAAGTGAGAGCTGCTCATACATCTGCGCAGCTATCTAAGCAGAGCTTGAAGCAAAATACATTGAGAACTAGACTAAGTATATGGATACACTCTGACCTTCTTCCATTAAAACAAATCATAAGTCACCTTATGGCCATAGTTCTTCACGAGAAATATATGGCCTACGAAATGACCTAATCATATAACTAAGAGTAATAAAATCATCAATTATGCCAGAAACACAAGTTGATCACCTTTAGAAGCAGCCTTTGCAGCTCGTTGTGCTTCCTGAATCGCTCGCCGTTCGGCTTTTGTAGTCTTCTCCTTCAGCGGCTTCCCATCATTTGCCCTCTTTCCCAGCCTAACTTCCACATTTGCCCCTCCATCTGTTCCAGAAAGAAACCAATCCCAAAAATCTCAAAATATTCTGAATCAATGAGGTGGAAAAAAGTCGAAAGAGATAGATATAAATCAGAAAACGAGAAGGAAAAACAGAAACAGGGGAAAGCATCACCTCGTACATCGGCGGGAAATTTCACAACATTCACATCGTTCTGAGCCACGTCCATCTCCATTGTCAAACGCACAGAAGGGAGAGACGCAGAGAATCCCAACGAACTATCCCTAAGATCCTCGGAAAAATCCGTGGTCTCGGTAGGGGATAAGAATTCAGATGGATTGTAGCTGCCGGCGGGAATTGAAGACTCTGCAGGTGCCATGTGCAAGTTTCGTGGGCCGATGGACAGGTGGCGCGGCGGCGGGATCATGACGGGGGACAACGAGTTGCCGGAGAGAGAGAAGTTGGGGGCCGGAGGTGACGACGGTATCGGGTCGGGTCGACCCAACGGAGCGAAGAATCCGACTTGGCGGATTATCGGGTCGCGGACTGCGCGGGGGACTACCCGGCGAGGGTCCATAGGTCCCCGGCGGATGTTAGGTTTCGTGAGTCTCGGTTCTTTTCAGCCTTTGCAGCAGGAAAAATAGAAATAGATTTTCGCGGTGCCTCGTTTTAAAAAGAAATAATAATTTATTATCTATTATCTATTGTCCATAGTTTTTAAACCCGGCCCGGTGATCGACCCGGGCAAGTCCTCGGGTCACCGGTTCAACCGTCGGGTCACCGGATCAATTGCTAAACCGGATAATCTATATATATCTAAAAAGGTTGATGTAAAAATCTTTTTTTAGAAACCTCAAAATAATTGAGTTGAATTTTGACTTTCTATTTATGTATTCTACTTTAAAATCGGAAGAAAAATCGTGAAATTGATTGTCCATTGCAAAAATCATGGGACTTACTATCTATCCAAATACAATCCATAACTATCTTATCACTTTTTGTTAATAAAAAATATGTGAAATTGATTGTCCGTTGCAAAAATCATGAGACTTACTATCTATCCAAATACAATCCATAATTATCTTATCACTTTTGGTTAATAAAAAATTGTATAAAAGGATATTCACTACCACTATTACAACTCATCATTCACGAGTTCAGAGAAAAAAAAATACAGAGAATAATTTTTCATCGCATATACAATATAATATAACGCTTCCAGGCGGGGTACACTTGATTCCGTTAACAAAAGAACAAACTTTTTTTTGCGTCTGAGAGCACCCCGCATCATTGAAACCCATCACGAACGAGAGCTGTAACGCATTCCATATACTGTTTCATGATGAACAGGTAATATTTACTTTTGTTATTTCAATTTTATATAATTTAAAAAATTATTTTAATTAATATTTATAAATTTGTATCGTAGGGTGCTTTCATTAAATGCATAATACGTTATCCGAATATGAGAGCAACAAACTTTATTAAACTGAGAGCAGTCTAATTTTTGTAAAATATGTAAACTTTAAACGTGTTTTTATATATAAAATTGTATATACTTTTAAACATGTTAGTTGGGCAAACTTTAAGGATATATATATATATATATATATGTGTGTGTGTATGCTAACTTTACGTATATATATTTTTCTTATAAAATAGTCTAGACAGAATTGAGGTAATTTCACATTTTTCGATACTAATATAAAATATTTTAATACTTTCACATATGTTATATAATAGTCTACATATTCTTAATGTATTTTGGTTGTAACATTGTTAACACATATAATATTAGATACTTTTAAACATATTTAGATAATGTTTTTACTCATTCTTTAATATCTATATGCATAAAAAGAGAATAAGATTTATAAAAGATTTTCCGGCAATATACTAAATGTTAGATAAAAAATCTCATTTTATTTGTTATATAATATTTCGAGTTGCATTAATTTTGATTTGTATGTGTAAACTTGATAAATTAAGCGTATGAAAAGGAGCGTACGAATTACTTTAAGGATTTAAAAAATAAAAAATAAATCTAATTTTTTAATATTTTCTACTAACTTCTAAACGAATTTATGTCATAATTCGTCATAATTTTCCCACATCATGTCAATATTAATTTTATATATACTAGGTAAAAGGTAAATCATTATCTCAATATTTATTCTATATATTCTAAGTAAATCTTCTCATCTATCTCAACGGTCCGCAGGTAGTGTTTCATACTTTTCTATTCATAATCAAATATATCAAAACTTCACAAATTTTACTTCACAAAGAAAGTGTTCAATAATTTATATTTTTTTCCCTTCTTTGCAATCCATTTATTTTTGTTACATATATATAAATTATATTATTTTTAATATTTCACACGTTAAACATTTCAGGAAAATATACCATCCCGTGCATCGCACGGGCTACGCGCTAGTTAATTTTAAAATTTTTAAAATTATATATAAAGTATTTCTGTTATATAAATATACATAAAAGTAACAAAATCAAATGTTTTGTGTATAAAAATTGTATATTAAAGTGTTAATAATATGTATCTCATGATAAATATTTACCATATAAACATATATACATATTTTTATTTTTCAAAAATAAAAAAAAATAAAAAAAATATAAAAAATATATATGGACCGGGTCAATGCCCCGGGTCGGTCGGGTCTCTGCCAGGTCGGCCGGGTTTTGACCGGTTTGACCGGGTCCTTGGTTGCCCGGTCCAAATACTCCACCCGAACCGGTTTCGGCTCCGGGTCGACCGGGTCCCGGGTCGACCCGCCGGGTCGGTCTGGGTCTCAAAACAGTGCTATTATCTATTATATAAAGAGGGAACTTAAATAATACAGAAATAGTAACTAAAAAATAATATGGATTTCCGCTAAAAAATATACTAAATATAATAACTTTCTTTTGAAATTTTTCATTTGCCGGTCTTAAGTGGATGCTTTGATTTGAAATTTTTTTTGCTAATTTTCATGATTTTCCATCCCGATTTTGTGGATATTTTGTGGATACTCTCCACATGATAGACATTAAAACTTTACACCCTTATCAGATAATATTCCATAGAGAATTAATAGGACACTCTCCCGATTTAGTGGATGCTTTGATTTTTTTTGAAAATCTTCATGTGCCCGTCTTAGTGGATGCTTTGATTTGAAATTTTTTTTTGCTAATTTTCACGTGACAGATTTTTCATCCCGATTTTGGGGATATTTGGTGGACACTCTCCACATGATAGACATTAAAACTTTAAACTCATAATATTCCATAGCGAATTAATAGGACACTCTCCCGATTTTGTGGATATTGTGTGGACACTCTCTACATGATATTTGGATTCTTTTATATATTCATTATAAGCTAATTACTTAATATGAATTAATAGGACTCCCGATTTTTCATATGGCCCGCATATTTATTTTTAACAATATTATAGAAATTAATAACTCACATTATGATTATAAATAATATAATTGTCTACCTCAATTTGCCCACTACATCCTACGCATAATTCATTTCAAACATTCTTACTCTCACAAACCAAACTTTCAGAATGGATCGGTCATGGGGCCTTATCAAAGATATAAGTAGGAGTAAGAGACACATGATGAAGCTTCGGGCCATCTGCATTTTCGAACGAAGTTTCAATGCCTTGGAAATAGTGTTCCATGATAATGAGATTTGATTTTTTACTTTACCTGTTACAAATTATTATTTGTAATTATTCATTCTATGCAAATGAACAAATTTTGTTGACATTTTATTCATTGTTAAATGTATAGGGCGGCCGCATAGCCGGTTTGATTCGAGGAGTTAACTTACCTACCCTTGTTCGCCTATATTTTTAAAGCTCGACCGCAAGTGTACGGCTTCGCTCGTAGTATGTGGCAAGCAAGGTCGTATCCCAAGAGACCAAATAATTAATATATCAAGTACCAGATTATGATAGTGTCAACTTTATTTAGACGACCGAATATGAGATGGATTAATTAAACTAAGAAAATATAATTAAAGAGAAATAAAGCAAAAATAAAGAACTAGCTAGAAAACACGTAAGAAGATATATGAGAATGATAGATTCTAAGACTTTTGATTCAATTAATAGTTGGGTTCCTTCAGAAATATCACAACCAATGTTTTCTTTATCTTCCCTATAAGATGATCACAAATTTAACTTATCGTCCCTCTCAAGATCGATAAAACCGTAGATTAAATCACATATATTAGCGTCTCCACTCAACACATGCAATTCAACTCCAAATAGATTAAAAGATCTAATATCCTCACAACAACCTACTAATCTCTCGATTCAAGCAAGTAAATTGTGTCAAATATTAAAGACCTAATATTGAACTCATCTCTCGAATTATGAACAATATTGTCAAACATGTAAAAACATTGGCCAAGTGCTAAACATGAAACAAGAACAAAATATTTGAATAGGGTTCAAAAGAAAACAATCAATTATAATAAATCATCCAAAATCCCAACATATTAATCTACTACCAAGTCTTAGAATCAAATAATCTAGCTACTCATGTTTGAATTCAAATACATAGACATATTAGAAATCAACATGATCAATAAAAGTTCAAAAGAAAGAAGAAAGGAAAAACTAGGAATCTCGTCGATCTTTCAATCTTCTTGATCCCTTCGTAGTTGATCTCCCTTTGCCTTCCAATTGCTCCTCTTGTGTGTTTTCAAAAGCCTCTCTAACGTGTATTTTCTTTTTTTCCTCTCAAACTAGATTAAATATGCCTCCTTTTGTGTCAAAAAACCTTCTCCTCATCAAAATAGGCAAGTATTAAAAAGCTGTTTCCGCACGCGACACGGCCATACGGCCCGTGTCACCGGCCGTGTCGCAGGTCGTGTCAAGTTCAAGCCCTCGGAATGTCCCTGTTCACGTGACACGGCCACCTGACACGGGCATGGTGCCCGTGTCACCGTCCGTGTCACATCCCAGCACTCTCGTTTTTGTCCGTTTCACTCGTTTCTTCCATATTTCTCATCCGTGCATCAATCCATCATCATCTCGGGGGTCCTAGGTACTCACAATGCGCCTCCAATAGCCACAAGCTCTAAAAATACGTGAAAATATCTACAAAACAAGCACGTGTAATACCTTTCCAACAAATAGAGAATTAAAGCACAAATATGCGATTTATACACCAATAATGCAATGACTAAGCTCTAAATACTCAATAAATATGGTGTAAAATCACACATGAACAACCCTAGGTGACAAGTTTGAAGAGGGCAAAGTGTACGCCATTCGAAACTATCAAGTTGAATCTAATAATGGTAAATATAGATCGACAAGTGCGCCTTATAAAATGATTATTCACGGTGAAACTAACGTATTGGAGTACTATGCCAACTTTCCAATGTTTCGATTTGATTTTTGCAATTTTGTCACCCTTCAAGATTATCACAATTTGGACGAGTCTATTTTGTTTGGTAAGTGTACATGCATCTAATTCAACAATCTAACTTATTTTCTTATATTTCTATCATCTAACAAATTAACATCAATTTTAGATGTCATTAGAATGACATTTGATGTACACTAGGTTCAGACAATAATTTTTCATGGAGATCCGACTCAAATAATCCACTTCTTTTTAATGGACCGTAAGTAATTATTATTTTTTATTATCTAATTACAGCACGATTTGTATGAAATAGCATGCAATATATTATATTATATATATAAACTGAAAGTTATATATATTATATATAATCTACTTTAATACTTTTTTCCTTTACAGCATGCATTCATTTTGTTATGTATGAAATTTCCTTTACTTTTTTGCAGCCGAATTTCTTTATTATAATAGTACTGCACACCTATCTTATTTAGTGTTGTAGTTTTTATAAAACTAAACATAGTAATTATATATAAAACTGAAATACATAAACATTTGTTATTTGCTATTATGCATTCATTTTGTTTTTCTTTTTGTCTAACTACAACAAATATTTTTAAGAAAAAATTTTAAATTTTTTTTTTTATATGTTAAATTACAGTGGCATTGCTATAATTTACTTGGACCAATTTTTGGCTTTCGAGCAACACTATCAAGGAGTTGCACCCATAATGTAACCCGGTTAGCCATGGGTGTTAGTCATGCAACTATGCAGGGCTCGCACTTGGAGAGGTAAATTTGAAACTATATATATTGCTATATGTAATTTGCATGCTTTCAATAGTTTTACATTTGTGCGATAATTTAATTATTTTTTATTTATAATGTATAGGCGATTCAACTTACCACTGCCACGAATATTATAAGGTTGATTGCAATTGATACAATTGCTGTAATTAGGTACTTCTGGCAAAGGTAATAAAAGCAATTGAAGTTTTAAATAATTTTCAAAATTTCACTATTTTTCCACCAACATTTTAGGTTTTCCACAAGCGATTCAAAGAACGATAAGAAATATATCTCTAATAGCAAGGGTGTGCTCAAAAGTGAAATTGATGAATTGGAAAATAGAGACGTTGTTTTGCTATATGAAACTGATGAGGTATTTGTTGAAGTATATTAAAATATAATTTTTTTTTATTAAAAAAAGGTCTTACCATCTATAATATCACATCTTGCAGGAGTCAGATTTTCTTACTCTCCTGCAGAGAAGATCACAACAATGGGCTGGTTAGATTAATTAGTGTTTTGGTTTTTAATATCTATTACATATATTGTATGATTATATGACTAATTACTATATGTATGTAATATAGTACTCATCTGTAGAATATGAGGTCACAACTCCATTGAAAATTGGCCAAGTTTTTTAGCATGTGCAAGACACGTCTGCAACTAAGTGGAATCTCATGAAGGATCTATCTAGTTCACCTGGTCATACTACAACTAAATAAATGGGATATGCTACTACTGAAAGTAAGGGAAAGGCTAAGAGTGGAGAGAAACAAGAGTTCGGAAGTACTATGAATAATGAAGTCGTGGCCCAATATGAAGTTGAAGCATGATTTTCTACTGGTTTTCTTATATCTATTAATATATTTAAGTTGTTTAGGTTGCTTTTTAAAATTATTAGATTTGATGCTTTGGTTTTAATAAAAAGTTTGCCGTATTACAAACGGCAATTGACAGCATGTAGCTGACTTCATTTTTATCTTATTAGGATTTATGGCAACATTTAGTTGGCCGCTTTATTATGTTATTAGGATTTGGTAGTTCCAATTCATTTTGGTATGAAATAAATAAATATTTAGGATTACATTCATATTCCTTAAATACCGTTCAAACATTCAAATTGCTATCATTAGTCTGTTTCCACTATCAACTGATTATTTGTTAGTCATAATATTTGTTAGTAATTTAATAGCTATTGGACATAAATTATTTGATTAATAAGATAAGCCGCAAAAATAAAGATAAATATTACTTGAAATTATGAGTTCGATTACAAATTTGTTCCTAAAAATTAATATACTAATACTAAATTTTGTAATTAATGAAATAATCCGATATTATAGATAAATAATTTTTCATAGGATTTGAAATCCCACTTAACATTGTGAAAACATATAGTTTATAATAATTATTGAAATTGAATATGGTATATTAGTTAATAATATTTTAAAACCCCGTACATGTTAATCATGTAGATATTTGTGAAAACAAAAAACTTTCATTTCCGAATTCATAGATATAGATTAGTTGATTTAATAATTATTGAAATATATAGAATATTGTCTGATAATAGTTTGAAGTCCTATTAATCTCTATCATGTAGAGATTTGTGTGTCACAAAACTCTTAATTGCAAAATAACAATGTCAAGATATATATTAACTCTCATAATGCGTATCTACAATTTGGTTTATCAAATTTTCAAAACTCACCTAATCATGTAGATACTTGTGAAAACAAAAAACTTTCAGTTCCCAACGGACAAATCATAGATATAGATTAATTGATTTAATAATTATTAAAATATATAGAATATTATCTGATAATAGTTTAAAGTCTTATTAATGTCTATCATGTAGAGATTTGTGTTTCACAAAACTCTTATTTGCAAACTAACAATGCCAAGATATATATTAACTGTCATGATGTGTATCTAACATAATGTGTATCTACAATTAACTCTTATTAACTATCATCCCAACTCATTTGCCAACTCATTGAAATTGATATGGTATGTTAGTTAATAATATTTTAAAACTCCGTTCATGTTAATCATGTAGATATTTGTAAAAACAAAAAACTTTCAATTTCCAACTAACAATTCATATATATTAGTTGATTTAATAGTTACTGAAATAAATGGAATATTATTTTGATAAGAGTTTAAAATCCCATTAATGTCTATCATGTAGAGATTTGTGAAAACAAAACTCTAACTTGCAAACTAACAATGCCAAGATATATATTAACTCGTGTCTACAATTTGGTTTATCAAATTTTCAAAACTCAATAACATACAAATTTATATCAATTAATTTGATAATAAAAATCATAACGAAAATAATTATTGAATTTGATATGGTATATTAGTAGATAATATTTTGAAACCGCATTAATGTCTATCATAGTATCATGTAGACATTCGTTAATTTAAAACCATAATTTGCCAACTAACAATGCCATGATAAATATTAGTTAATATACTAATTATTGAAATTGAAGAAATATTAGTTTATAAGATAAGATTTGAAACCCCGTTCATGTTTTAATCATATTGATATTTGTGAAATAAATGGAATATTATCTGATAAGAGTTTGTTCCATTAATGTCTATCATGTAGAGATTTGTTTTCACAAATCTCTTATGCATATCATGTTTATTTTAATAATACCATATAAATTAATAACTCACATATTGATTATAAATAATCGAGTTGTCTGCCTCAATTTGCCCTTTACATTCTACGCATAATTCATTTCAAACATTCCTACTCTAACACATCAAGCTTTCAAAATGGATCAGTCATGGGGCCTTATCAAGGATATAAAGAGGAGTAAGAGACACATGATGAAGCTTCGGGTCGTCTCCAGTTTCGAGAGAAGTTTCAATGCCACATACCGAAACTACTTGGAAATAGTGTTCCATGACAAGGAGGTTTGACTTTTTACTTTACCTATTACAAATTATTATTTCTACATTAACTATCTATACAAATCAACATATTTCGTTGACATTTATTTAATTGTTAAATGCATGTATAGGGCGGCCGCATAACCGGTTTAATTCGAGGAGTTAACATACCTACCCTAGGTGACAAGTTTGAAGAGGGCAAATCGTACGCCATTCGAAACTACCAAGTTGAATATAATATTGGTAAATATAGATCAACAGTTGCAGCTGAGAGTTCAGACAAAACAGGCCTTCCGCCGACTGCAGCTCTGCAAACATTTTTGGAAGAGACATCAACATCTTATTCATGTTGTAGTTCAACCAAAACTGCTCAAAGCTCTTCGGCAGGGACTGAAGCATAATATCAACCTGGATTTTCTAATCGTTAAATGTCCCTGGGAGCTCCAGCTAATTGAGTTGTGTCATGACCTTGGGAGCATGCTCCCTCATGGGTGCTCCCTCATGCGCATGTTCATCAGTACCCTCATGGCTTCTTGACTGGCAGCCGGAGAATGGTGGCCAAACAGATCCTTGAGATTGTGGAGTATGTCAAGCGCAGTAAGCATAGACTGATGCTGATGTTGAATAACATTTGACATAGAAGCCAAAATATAACACTTCACCATCTCATCAGCCTTCTTCCATTTGGCATACTCTTCTTTCTCTTAATCCGTTGCCCCGTGTACGGCATATCCGGACAAGCCTCAGTGAGTACATATCTGTACCCTTCAGTAGTTAGCACTATGTCCAAGTTTCTTTTCCATTCAATATAATTTGGGCCAATAAGTTGATTTTCTTTTCAAATGACAGACAACAGATTGAACGACATGTTGAATATGGCCTGAGAATCATGAAAATATTTTACTGATTAAAAACTTTTGAATTTATCTGTTAATATTGGTATCCTCAAACAATATTAACTTAAATTTGCCAACATCTTGAAACACCGAGAGTAACGTATGCTACCTGGGTCACCCATTATACTCAACATTCGCAGAAGAAGGGTTTTTCAAGAACCCATTAGTTTTTAAAAGACAAAACCAAATTCATGGCGAATAAAACTATTAGTCGGTTCTTTTTTGCAATGCAATAGAAATCAAGGACCCCGTGGGGAGTTTATAAAATTTATCGCATTCTAAGTGAATTTCATTTCACGATCCTATGGTCATCAACTGTACGTCCTCGGTTGTGGGCCTGCACGCTCTCTTATGAATCCCTATAATCATCCAATTGGAGGTTCGTTCTGGTAAATTCCTACAATTAATCTAATTAGTGTAACCGGTAGCGTAGCCCACACTTCGACTAATTGATTTATCAATAAACCAGAAATGGAGGCCATAGGATTTTAAAATTAGCTTTAATTTTAAAATTTCTTCTCAAACTTAGTATTATCTTTAATTGAGGATTTTTAGTTTTACTATGCAATTCTAAATTAATCACATGTCATAAAACAATAATTAGTCACATGCATAAATAACTAATAGATATAATATAACTATAGAAAATAAATGCACTATTATGACAATTAATTAATGAGTCCCCCCAGAAAAGGAAACTATCATATAGGATCTTCTGATTTTCCTAATCCACTTGAAACTCTCATTGCAGCAGAGTCCTTGAGATCTTCTACTGCTTGTCTAGCAAGTCATCACCCATAGCTCGTCGGAGGGTCTCCCATCACCGTTGCCGGTCGCAGCCGTCGTTGCCACCACGGATGTTGCCAGAAAATTTCATACCCAGTCGTCACTGGACTGCTGCCACCATCGCCGGTCATTGCGCCGTCGCCCGCGGCCAACCCTGCGCGAGAACGCGCGGTCAGCTACTGCACTTCACGGGGCGTCGCGCACAAGCATAGAGTGCTTCCCTGCAGTGCCTAGCTCGGTGATCGTCGGGCATGTTGCGCGCCTCACGGCACCCGTTCACCGAGCCTTGCACCGCCGCTCCCGGGGATCCTCCGATGAAGCTCTGAGACCATCGCATGCAGCATGAGATCTCCGATCACTGTGTGTCGCGCGCCTGGAGCACCTAGCAGCGTGCTGCTGTGCTCGCGAGCACACATGCATTCGATCGCAGTCGTTGTCGTGGCCTGAGCCCCATTGGGTGTCGAGGTCTGTGGTCTCGTTGATCTCACGTTCGTTCGCACATGGTCATGATCACAATCACGATCAAAATATAATTAAATGAAAAATTACATATTCTGATCCTAGACCCACTGATGGATTTACATGTTCGTCTAAACAAATAATTAAATCTATCGAGTGTCCCAACGGGCGAATAATTATTACAAACACTAAACCATAAAAAGTTATATATATTCAAAATCTTGTCTTAGATTTACTTAATAATATATTTGTATTAATTAATATAAATAATAATTATATGACAAAACAAGAGCATAACCATATAAAAAATAAAAAAATTCAAAACTAGTCCTACAGGTTAGTGTCATGTCACGTGTGATGACTGTTGCCAGCGTGTCAGGAAAAAATGCCACATGGCTTTTCGGGCCTTTTGGACTGAAAATCGCATCAAAAGTCCTACTTTTTTTTCACTTTTGAAAGTTGTGGGACAATTTGTGTCACTATCCTGTGGGATGGAAAATGACACTCTCCTATATTAAGAGCGGCAAGGCAAATTAGGCATTTACGTTTGATTTAAGTGAGGAAACAAGTAGCAAATTTTTTATTTCGTTGGAAAAAAGTAGTGTTCAGTATTAGAATATTTACTTGTGAGTTGGCCCACATCGTTTATATATGGAAAATAAGCCTAATTTATAAGACTAATGGACTACTCCTTCCACCAATTAGTTTTGAGATGGAACCACACTTGGGCTTCATCTGAGCTTTCCTTCTTATGGTGCGTTTCACGTGTGTAGGACCGCACCAATAGGCCTAACTTATAAGACTAATGAGTTATCCCTCCTTCCACCAATTGGTTTTAGGATGGAAACCCATATTGAGGAATACAATTCGATTAAAGAAATAGAGATGTTAAATATTAGTTTTAGTTTCATTTATATTGTATTTTAACATAATGTTAAATATATAACTCATACATGTAAGTATGTAACACAAAACTAAACAATTTCGAAAGAAATGTTGCTATGAATTAATCCAGAACGACATGGCTACATATATGAAGCATGAAAATCGAATAGCGTGGATTAATTTGTTATGAGTAGACATGTCCGATTCAATCACTGTATTTCAATTTTTTTATTAAACTGTTTTGAATTTAAGACACTTTTCTCGCTATAATTATTGAAGTAGGAGCTGCAGGATATAACAAATGATTCTCTCAAATGCATTCGGATTGACGATGTTTGTTCAAGATCATCCTCATCCAATGATTATACTGATATAT